TTTCTTTGCCAAGAGTTTTTATCTCCCTCCTTCCCTTCCTCCTCCTCTCTCTCTCTCTCCATGTCTCTCATATTCTCTCTCTTTAACATTTTAAAATTTAATCACTAAATATCTAGATGTCCCTTGTTTTCTTTTTTTTCCCTACCTGGGACTTATTCAGGATTCGGGAAATTGGAGGATTTTTTTCAGCTTAAGGAAGTTTTCTTTATGGGTTTTTTGTTTTGTTTTGTTTTTAATTCTTCATATATTCCTGTGTCCTTCTGGAACTGTTACTCTTTGCATATTAAATCTTCTGTATCTGGCTTTCATGTCTCTCATACTTTCATTCATGACTTCCATTTCTTTGTGGATTTTCGCTATATCTGTGCTACATTTTCTTCTATTTTGCACAGAGCACTTCCTGGCACATAAGGGGTGCTCAATAATTAGTTACTGAATGAATAAATTGTGTCTTCCAGGAGACCGATCAGATCTCACAGTGTCTATTCTCTTTTTCCACATCTCTGTAGAATTCTTAATTCAGGAATCATGTTTTGTGGCTGCAGAGAGTCTTTTACATTCCAGTTGCACTAATTGCATCTCCATAAGATTTTTCTCTCTTTTTCTCTTTTTTGGTTTTTTTTTTTTTTTAAACAAAAAAAAACTGCTTCCTCCTTACTTCTGCCTGGTTGTTCTGCTTGGCCTTCCTCAATGGAGAGTGATTTTGTCCTTCCTATCCATGTCTGTGGCTGTGCAGGCCTTTCACTCCTGTACAGATCAGCTTGTCAGGGGCTCTCAGGCAGCAGTGACCTGCAGTGGAAGGGACACAGGTATTTGGTTTCAGGGGCCAGTAGCAAATTCACTGGCAAAGTGTCCTGTCTCTGTGTGCTGGGAGGACATCTCTTCTAACCACCAAGGTGGGGCATTACTGCCTGTCGGAGCTGCACCCTCAGGAGGCTGGGGGTGGAGAAGAGGGTTCTTTCTGTGCCAAAGAAAACTGTTCCAGGTCTCTCCAAGCGAACTCTTCCCTTAAGGGCTGGCTGGTTTGCTCAATTTGTAGGAGCCCAGTGCTGATAACACCAAGGTCCAGTTTTTAATCCCTGTACTGGCCAGCCACCAAAAAGAAAAAAAAAAAACAAACTCTTAAGAAAACGTGAATGCCATCTGCTGGCTCATTTGTCCTTGCTGAGTTGACTGTTCACACACTGAAAATCTCTAGCTCCACCGAGCTCTTAGAATTAATTAGAACCTTTGAACTGCCCAGTGGCAAGAAGAAAAACTATTAGTAATATTTAAATTGATGTAACTAATGATAGTTAACTAATCGATAGTTACTACCAGTGGAGCTACCAATTGACTGCCTCAATTTTAAACATACAGTTGGCCCCCCATATCCAAGGGTTTCACATCCCCAATTCAACCAGAAAAAAAAAAGCCACGTCTGTACTGAACATGTACAAACTTTTTTCCTTGTCATTATTTCCTAAACAATAACAACTATTCATATGGCATTTGGCACTGTCTTAGGTATTATACTAGGTAACATAGAGATGATTTAAAGTACACGGGATGATGTGCATACGTTACATGCAAATCCTGCATCTTTTTATATCAGGGACTTGTACCTCCGCCAATGTTGGTATCCATGGGAGTCGTGGAACAGACCCCATTGGTACTGAGGGAGGGACTGTATATTGGAGATGCCCTGAGTCATTTTCTAAAGCAAAAGGAAAATGTTTGTGCACTTGTTCACATTTTTATCATTGTTAATGTACTAGCATTGGTATTAATACAAACAACAAAAATGTTTTCTTAAAGTCCAGGAAAGTAGGATATTATAAGTAAACCAATAATAAGAAACATAAGGTCCTAACAGAAAACACTTCCCAAACGTGGGTTTTCAGAGCGATTCTATCCAGTTCTTGTTCACCTGTTACGAGCCTATGAGAGGCTTCCCTGGCGAACAGGACACATGAGGAACAGCGGGGGGTTTGTGGCAGTAAAAGCACAAACTCAAGACTTTGTAATAACCTAAAATCTCAATGTTTTACTTTACTCTTAAAAGACAGATTAGAAAGGAAGGAGAATTAGAAATATAGATGAAGAAACCAAAATCCCAGAATGTAAATTTTGGGTTTTAAACAAACATAAGATCATTCCCCCTGCCCCCAAAAAACTGATGGGATTTTTATTGTGTTTTGTTTTCACAGTTCAAGTTTGGTGAATAAGTAAACAAAGAGAAAAATAAAATAAAAAAATAAAGTGTGAATGTCCAGTGCTGCAGGACAGTTTCAGGAACACCAGGATCTAAGCATTGTTACTGGATATGGTGCATGGCTTGTCCTTGGCGGGGAGGGGCTGCTTTTATTGTGACAATCTCTAAACCTGCTGTAGGTCCGCAGGGTGGAGACGACAGCCCTTCAGCGATCTGTGTCCGTGGCCATTGCCCAGCCGCCCTGCTGCCCTGTGGCCCTATTGTGAAGGCATGAGAGCTGTCCCCTTGCCCTGACCACCACATAGAGAGCATGCACACGGTTCGGGCCTGCACTGACCAAGCCGGTGGGACATTGGACGTCCAGGTTGGATGTGGATTGGCAGCCTTGACTTCTGCCTCCAGTGACCAGCAGGGCAGGCATCTGCTGTGGGAGACACTGCTGTTCAGTGTCCCCTGTAGTAAGTGAGGTCTCCCGAGGCTTCCTTCTTAACTCCTTTTCAGGCACTGGTACACACCTATTCCATTCAATAACCCCTTGCTGGCAGCCCAGTCTCAGGCCTCCCATCACGATGCTCAGGGAACTGCCACCAGACCTTGTAAGGGGTCCCAGGACCTCACTGGGTACAGGGTCAGCCTATGGTGTGTCAGCCTTATAGTGTGCACGTCGACCACCAGGTGTAACATCATGAGACAACATGGGCAGCCTTCAGCTGACGGGGCGGACCAGAGGCCGGCATTTAACCCAATTTTCTTCTTCTTCTTTCTCACGCTCAGATGGATGGAGTGGAACCCTGGCTTCCCCTTGAGTATCGATGCCAAATGCCACAGGGACTTACCCCGCGATATCCAGTTTGATAGCGAGAAAGGAGTGGACTTTGTTCTGAACTACTCCAAAGCGTAAGTTTTCAAGAACTTCGGGACGCTGGGCAGCCCCTCCGGTGGTTGGGGCTGGGGTGGGACCCCCTCTCCTTTCCTTGTGGGGGCCTTGGGCTGGGGGAGAAGCCCAGCCCAGCAGCTCTTCCCAAAAGTGTCTGAATAGATCTTGGCCGTAGAGTGGATTCTCGGTGCACAATCACAGGATAACCTGCACCTAAACAAAGTCACAACCTGGAGGACTCCAGACACTAAACATAGCGATAGCGTATTTTCAACCCAAAAGCAGGGGTCTTTACTTGGAATGCCCCGTGTCCACCCAAATCTCATCCCCTCTATGGCCAATTCAAGAGTACACAGTATCCAGGCTGTCACCAGGGTGGCAGGCTCTGTAGCAATAATGGCCAAAGCGCCACTGCGTCCCGTCTGTCCATCACAGCCGCCGGGTGAGGCAGGCACGTTTTGTCCCCATTTCGCTCTTGAGGAACCTGAGGAATAAGGAGATCTAGTTCTTTATCAAGAACCCCTGCTTGTTAAAAATATGGATCCCCCAGCTCTACCCTTAGCTGAGGGGCCTTTGAATGGCACGCTGACACTTTAGGGAATTCTTATGAGCACGCAAGTCTGGAAATTTTGTGGTTCTGAACCTGGAATCCCCTGAGGAGCTTCCGTACCTCCCAGACCCAGGCCGACCCCATACTCATGGACATGTGTCTCCAAGGGCCTGGCCCTGGCCATGGGTCTGCACATCGATACGCAGATGGGGCTGGGAAACGCTAGCTCATCAGTCTTCTTGGTGTGGGGGCTTTCTAGGTACAGTCATCTATTTTAAGCTTCACAGCAGTCCTGAGAGGTAGATATTATTATTATTGGCCATTTCTAGGTAAGGAAACTGAGGCTCCAGGGGTCAA